ATGTCGGGAAAACCAACCATCTTGATGAATTAGCGATAAACTACCTGACAAACGCCACGTGTTGAGCAAAGAGTTGTCATATTATCCGTTCGTGACTAGAGAAATGATAACGGCGATTTTGAAAGGAAGAAAAAGGAAAGAGAAGAGATAATTAATTTTTTTTTTTAGTTAAGCAAAGGTATTTTTTCCGAAACAAAGCCGCGGATTGTTCACGCCCGACTAAGACATCATTGGTCAAGTGGTGATCACGTGACGCACGAAGGAGGAGGAAAGATACCCGACCAAGACCTCATTGGCCGAGAGTGATCACGTGACGCACGAAGAAGGCTGTTGACGCCCCCATCCAGAGTATAAGTATGAGAAGCTGCTAGGAAGAAGTGAGGAGGGCAGTTCACGCCCCTCAGAAGTATGGTGAGAAAGTGGGAGTAAAAAAAAGTTACCAAAAATGGAAAAGAGTGGAAAATCCCTAACCAGAAATAAAAGAGGTGGATATGTATTTACAATTATCGAGGAACCCCCGACGCCAGCAGACCCACCCCGGTTTTGGTCGGCGTCAATAAAATCTAAGCCCCAACGGGCAGAAATCAGTTCGGGCCCTGGCGGCAGAGATGAGTGTCCAGAATGTTCGGGCCCTGGCGGCAGAGATGAGTGTCCAGAAAGTTCGAGCTCCAGTTTCCAGAGTTGAAGCCGCCTCGAGATAGCTGACCAAGATTCACGCAAAATTCCGGATTCCTCTTCAACCAAGAACAATTATTTTGAAAAGCGACTTAGAACCAGACCACCGAAATAAGTTTTTCGACTTTCGTCCAAAGACACACCGAAACACAAATTTCTTAGAGAGCAGACAACTTGAAGCGTTAAAACTTGCCTAGCGAAAACGACGTGTCACAATCCACAGAACGGTTCGGGAGATAGATGCAGTCCTATGTATCGAACAATTAGACATAAAGTTTGTTACCTTTTTCTTTGATACTTTGAACTTTTTGAGTTTTCATTTTATTTTCTTTTATGCATATTTGTGTAGTATCACCCCCGTTGAACTCAATTTGCACTACGGCCCCCAACCACTGTTTGATCTCGTCTGTCTAATATCAAATCACAACGTGGGTAGGCAGACTGGAGATCAATGCAGTTACCTTGGTAACCAGGCGTTGGAAGCGAGTTGGGAACGGCGAGGCTGATATCAAATCTAACCAGATTCCCACCCGAATCACCAAAAGGTTAGAACGTCACATTTGGGTGCCGCGACCGATACCAAGCCAGTTGGTCGTCACAGAACGAGACAACACGACTGACACGACAGGCAGACGTCACGTTTGGAGCAGCGACACCCGGACGGAGCAGCGAGGAGCGAACAGCTGGCGCCGCGGCGAAGACGTCACAATTGGTGCTGTTTAGGGACGTCACAACTGGTGTCGTGACCGGGATAGAACCCTGGAACGACCACGTCACAACTGGCGCCGTGGTAGATCAGGATAGAACGTCACAGTTGGCGCTGCGACCGGGGGACGACGTCACACAAATATAATTTCCTTCATTTGTGAATTATCCTGAAAATTTCATAAAAATCCAACAATTATTTGATTTTTGAAAGAATTTCTATAACAATGTGTTTTTTTTTAAATCTCAAAAAGACGCTAAATTACCTACAATAATCTTTGGCTCAGCGGTGATGTATGAAAAACTAGATTTTTAACGAAAATTTTAAACGTGCTAGAAATGATTAAAAAAATAAAAAAAATAATTCAAAAATACATTGATCTTTCCTCTCAATAATAACAAATACATTTTGACGATAAATCTTTGTTTTTATCAAATTTGGGAGATTTTTTTTTCTTCGCCAGGGTACGCTCTTTTTTGGCGGGACCTATTCAAAGCTTAAAAAGCAGTAAATCATATAACCTGAAATAACGAATTTAAAACAGTGACATAAAACAAACGATTATTCAAAATCAATCAAGTGCAAAACTTTAGATATCTGGTAAGTGTTTTAACAGAGGATGGAAATTATGGCACCGAAATCCGAAGAAGCAATGGAACAGAGAAAGATGCCTTCCAAAAGCTAAGCAAATGTATGAAGAAACAGGAAAATTTCGATAGAAACAAAGATAAGATTAGAAAATTCGACACTCAAAGGACATATTGTAGGCAAGAGGAAGAAAAGAAAAGAGTACATAGCCATATTTGGCATGTGTGTCAAGGGTTGCCTACCCCTCCTCTAGATAACGTATTAACAGAAAGCGCGAAGAAAGGACTAAGCATCAATTGCAAGAAAAGAGAAATCAGTAAAAGGAACAGTCCAACACGCAAATCATAAATTGGAGATATGACGCCACTACAAAACTTTAAATATCTACGAAATGTTTTAACAGAGGACGTAAAATGTGACACCGAAATCCGAAGAAGCAATGGGATAGCGAAAAATGCCTTCCAAAAGCTATTCAAAAGGAAAATTTTGTTGGAAACAAAGAAAAGAGCACTGTACAGTTACGTAATATCAGTCCTCTGATATGGTAGCGAATGCTGGACAATCTCCCCACATAAGAACAAAGAATTTGAGGTGAAAGGAATGTGGTTCTACAGAAGGATGCTGAGAATACCATGGACTGAACATGTGAGCATTTTCAGAGAAAATAGAAACAAAAAGGATACTTATACTTAATATCAGAAAAGGACAGTTGAAATTCCTAGGGAACACAATGAGGAAAGCGGGCTTAGAAAACTCGACACTCAAAGGGCATATTAAAGGAAAAAATGACAAAAGAACACAGCGCTTATAGTACCTAACGAGCTTGTCTAAATGGATGTCAGAACAATGTTTAAGAGAAAAGACAAAAATAAAGAAGACAAAAAACGTGTGCCAAGGGATGCCTACACTTCCTCAAGATAACGTAGTGACAGAAAGCGCGAAGAAAGGACTAAGCATCAATTGGAAAAAAAATAGAAGTCAGTTAAAGGAACATCCCAACATGCAAATTATAAATTGATATCAAGCCAGTACAGAACTTTAAATATCTTGGAAAATGTTTCAACAGAGAACGAAAAGTGTGACATCGAAATCCGAAGAAGCAATGGGACAGCAAAAAATGCCTTCCAGAAGCTAAGCAAAAGTATGATGAAACAGGAAAATTTTGTTAGAAACTAAAAAAAAGAGCACTGTACAATTAACATCAGAAAGAGCCAGTTGAAATTCCTGGGGCACATCATGAGGAAAGAGGGTTTAGAAAATTTGACACTCAAAGGACATATTGAAAGAAAGAAAGAGAGAAGAAAACAATACATATACTACCTGACGATCTTGTCTAAATGGATGTCAGAACAGGGTTTAGGAGAAAAGACAAAATTTACTAAGAACTATAAATTACAGAAAACCGTGAAAGGCCCTGATCGCCAAAGTCCTCAAGGGATTCGACGCACTGATGAATATCAATCGACTTAATCCCTTGTAGTTTTCGGGTGAATACTTTGTGAATTTATAAAACGTGTACATTGTATTACGATTATGTTGCTTGCTGAATTTAAAGCCAATTATGGCCACCTTTTTGCTGCCATTGTGTGTCCAGTTCGATCAAAATTATGTAAATAGGTTTCGCGCTGGAAAACTTAACTCTCATTGTTGATCTCACGCATCACGAGATCTTTAGCTTCTATCTACGAGAATGAGTACCCTTATCCGACAAGTACAGCAAATTCTTTCCTTTTAACTTTTTTCTAAATGATTATGTGAATATTGCTTGAAAATAATTCTTCGAGAAAGAATTATTTAAAAATCAATTATTCAAATTGTAAATTTTTTGAATGAAAATTAATCGAAAGGCCAATTATACTAAATGATAATTATTTGAAATGCAAAATTCTTTATTGCAATAAAAATGTAAAAATTAAAAGAGGAAATACACAAATGATAATTATTCTAAATACAAATCGTTAATAAAACGATTTAGTAAGAAAAAGTCCTTATAAACTTAAGTTATATGATATTACATGCAAATAGTCAACTACTGAAGAATACTCGTTAAAGAATGGCACTAAGATTTAAAGCTTTCCATTTACGTTGGGGTTAATTCTTGGCACACTTTATATTTTGGCAACCGGCTCGTACTTTTAAAATAGGAATTCCTTGCAAGTCCAGTGCTCTTTTAAAAACATCTAAGAATTTCCATATTGTGGGATGATAAGATGACACTTCCTATGGCAAAAAAGAAAACCTATGTCATTCTTCAAGGGAGAAATTGGTTGTGGATAGATCAGCATTAACTCTATCTATCTATCTCAGTCTGTTCATATCTATCTATCTATCTATCTATCTATCTATCTATCTATCTATCTATCTATCTCAGTCTGTTCATATCTATCTATCTATCTATCTATCTATCTATCTATCTCAGTCTGTTCATATGTATCTATCTCAGTCTATTCATATCTATCTATCTATCTATCTATCTATCTATCTATCTATCTATCTATCTCAGTCTGTTCATATCTATCTATCTATCTATCTATCTATCTCAGTCTATTCATATCTATCTATCTCAGTCTATTCATATTCATCTATCTATCTATCTATCTATCCATCTATTCATCTATCTATCTCAGTCTATTCATATCTATTTATCTCAGTCCATTCATATCCATCTATCTATCCATCTATCTATCTATCTATCTATCTATCCATCTATCTATCGCAGTCTGTCCACATCTATTTATCTCAGTCTATTCATATCCATCTATCTATCTATCTATCTATCCATCTATCTATCCATCTATCTCAGTCTGTTCATATCCATCTATCTATATCTATCTATCCATCTATCTATCTATCTCAGTCTGTTCATATGTATCTATCTCAGTCTATTCATATCTATTCATCCATCTATCTATCCATCCATCCATTCATCTATCCATCTATCTATCTCAGTCTGTTCATATTCATCTATCTATCTATCCATCTATCTATCCCAGTCTGTTCATATGTATCTATCTCAGTCTATTCATATCATTCATCTATCTATCCATCTATCTATCTATCTATTCATCTATCTATCTATCTCAGTCTGTTCATATCCATCTATCTATCCATCTATCTATCTATCTCAGTCTATTCATATTCATCTATCTCAGTCTATTCATATCTATCTATCTATCTATCTATATCTATCTATCTATCTATTCATCTATCTATCTATCTATCTATCTCAGTCTGTTCATATCTATCTATCTATCTATCTATCTATCTATCTATCTATCTCAGTCTATTCATATCTATTTATCTCAGTCTATTCATATCTATCTATCTATCTATTCATATCTATCTATCTATCTATCTATCTATCTATCTCAGTCTGTTCATATCTATTTATCTCAGTCTATTCATATCTATCTATCTATCTATCTATCTATCTATCTATCTCAGTCTGTTCATCTCAGTCTGTTCATATCTATCTATCTATCTATCTATCTATCTATCTATCTATCTATCTATCTATCTAAGTTTGACAATATAGAAATATTGGTCGATTTACTCAACTGTCATGTTATCTGGAGTTAACCATGTCTCGGCGGACATTTCGCAGTATTCCAAACATTTCTATATAAAAAAAAAAATGCTCTTTTTGAAATTATTATTTTCTCTCTCTTTCATGCGGGGGGGGGGAGGAAGGGTTGGCTGGTTTCACCCCCGCTCTGTTCCTCGTCCAACCTATCAAATGATCAGTGTTTTCCAAAGTAAATGCCGCTGATGCTGCGATCAATAATTTTCTAATCAAAACGCCAATAATTCTATGGAATAACATTTCAAGCCAACCGATTCAACTTTTGAAGTTCTTTTTCGGTATTTCGAATGATCCTCTGGTATTCAATAAGCGTGAAGCCTATTTACATAATTTTGATCGAACTGTACACAATGGCAGCAAAAAAGGTGGCCATAATTGGCTTTAAATTCAGCAAGCAACATAAACGTAATACAATGTACACGTTTTATAAAGTCACAAAGTATTCACCCAAAAACTACAAGGGATTAAGTCGATTGATATTCTTCAGTGCGTCGAATCCCTTGAGGACTTTGGCGATCAGGGCCTTTCACAGTTTTCTATGATTTGTAGTTCTTAGTTTCTCATAAACCCTGTTCTGACATCCACTTAGACAAGATCGCTAGGTAGCGTTGTGTTCTTTTGTCGCTCTTTCCTTTGATATTCCCTTTGTGTGTCGAATTTTCTAAGCCCTCTTTCCTCGTTATGTGCCCTAGGAAATGCAACTGTCTCTTTCTGATATAAGTATCCTGAATTTTTTATTAACGTGCCATTTTTCTCAAGTACAGGCGACCAAACACGACATTATCAGAAAATAAGAGCGATGACTATAGTAAATAAAATATTATATTACGGAATATATTTTCCTAAATTTTAAGATTACTGAATACTTAAAAATTAAAAAAAGCGCTCAGGTCATTTTCTTTTTAGAGATAAACTCTGCGTAGGACAGCATTAGACCTGTCACACCTTGCCAAAAACATCAACGGAACTTCTTTTTCTTTTATGTACAGTGTTTTTTTCAGGGCGCAGTCGATCATGGCTCTCTATTTCTTACTGTCAGTTAAAAACACAGCAGTAGTCGCGTTAAAAATGCATTTCTGCGATATTTTAAACTTAAAGTAAACAATATTTGTTTCAAATCAGTTTAATTATACTTTAGTTAGTTTAGTTTTTCCTTCCATTTGTGCTGTTAGGCATCGCGGGGAAACACAGTCGTCTGTCAGCGGAAAGGCGAGTGGTCTGGACGAGAGGTATCTCGTGGGCTCTGAGAGTGTCTGCCACTGAGTCGCTCCAGCCGTCTAAAGCTCAACACTTCGTCCTCGCCGTCGGAGGTGGAAAAAGGTAACGCTGGCCAACGGAGCTCTCGTGAAGCCGTGACTGGCTTAGCAGGAAGACAGTGGATAAAAATTGCTCAAGGAAACAAAAGGAGAAGCAGTTATACTTTAAATCAAGTAAATTTCATCAAATAATGTTTCAGAAAACTATATTTTATTTTGGGAAGACTTTTTAATAAAGGAAATTACATTGGGATGAAAGACAGCTAATAAAAGGCACACACACACACACACACACACACACACACACACATATATATATGCATATATATATACATATTCAAATTGCTTATTAAACACGTCCCGAAAAATCGGAATTTCATAAAATATTTAATAAAATCTCATTTAAATTAAGCTACAACTATACAAGTAATTTAGAAACAAACAATAAAAAGACAAAACATCAGGAGTTTCAAAAGTAACGTGCAGCAAAACATCGTTAATAGTGATATATGCAGATGTAGAAATAAAAGCAAATGTCAATTAGATGGAACTTGAAATACTGAAGCAGTAATTTACAAAGCATAGGATGTACTGAAGGTATTTTTAAGAAGAGATGGTATAATCATAAGTCATCTTTTAAACTAGAAAGTCTTAAAAATTTTAGAAGACTAGCCAACCATATGTGGAAATTAGGAGAAAAAAAATATAAGAAAAAAAGGTCCGATGGTAAACTGGAATTTTTTAAAAAAAGCCAAACCTTGCAAGTAAAATCTGCAACTTTTGTCAACAAGAAAAGTTTAGCTATAATAACATTTCAAAACTAAAAACAAAAACAAAAAACAAACTTTTGAATGAGAGATTGGAAACTATGACCCATTGCATCATACTTATTATATAACCCAGGTTGTGTGTGTGTGTGTGTGTGTGTGTGTCTGTACGTTTATATATTGGATTGGATTTCCTATATTTTTCAACCGATTTCAACAAAACTTCACAGGACTACGTAAAATTATCTTGTGGTGGTTCTGACAGTGCCAAAATTGGAAAATCACAATTGTTTTTGCACGAAATCAATTTGAAAACACGATTAAGAGGCATCACGAGAATGAAAGGGGAACAACTCATATCAAGTTATACTTATTATAAAACCCAGGTTGTTTGTGTGTGTCTCTGTGTTCGTTTATATATGGGATCGGATTTCCTACATTTTTCAACCGATTTCAACAAAACTTTTTTTTTGGCAGGTAGTGTTTCTTATTGTCTTGCACACTTTTTTCTTTATATTTACATTCAGAATGCTGTAAAAATTACATTTACAAGACAATTGTTTGTAATAAAATTCTATTCAATCGGTAGACTCATAACGATTGAAAACAATGTTTTTGTTTGAGTTTGACCAATTCGTAAAAAAAAAAAAAAAAACTAATTAAGACAATCTTAAACAATAATCTTTGTCAATTTTATTTTTCAGTCTTTATGATGGTCAATACTTGATCTATCTCTTACTGTTAAATCCCCGGGCAACGCCGGGCTCTGCAACTAGTACATAATAAAAATTTCCTTTGGGTTCATGTGAATTGGGATGAAAAGAAAAGATGTATATTTTGATATATATATTGAACCGCACATCGGTTTCATTTCCAATACACTTGCTTTTCTCCTCCTCTTCTTTCACACCTCACAAACTGGGCTTATTTATTTAATTTTTACATAATATAGAGTTCATTAAATTGTAAGTAAGGCACCAGGAAATCAATATGTTGAAATCGCCTGAAGATAGCAAAATGTTGAAATCAAAATAGCGGAATCGGCTGATCTCCCATTTTTTGTTTTTTTATACGTGTATTGAGCACTTTTTAATACTACTTTTTCCTGGTCTAATTCAACTCAGACCATTATATATATATATATATATATATATATATATATATATATATATATATATATATATTGTATAAACTTACATAAATTAATATATATAGATATATATACGCAGAAAAAAGAAACATATTGGATTTTAAAATTAAATACACATAAATTAGGGTTGAATAGGGACTTAGGTGTTTTAAATCTTTATAAATATTTCAATAGCTAACAATTTCTTTAGATATAGTAAAAAAATATTTTTAAAATATTTATGACAGTTAGATTTAAGTTAGGAATATCTGAACAGTGACGTTCCATATCACGTGACGTCCGCGTCTCTCGAAGGACGCTACTTGCCAACAAAACAGTAATTTTAATTTATTTGTAACAAACAGTTATTTCTGATGAAAATTGAGGACAATTTGAAATATCAAATATATATATAAATAAATAAATACTTTCATAAAATAAAACATTATAATTTTTAATTTGAAACTTTTTCTATATATACATATTAAGAAAGTATACGTGGCTTCTCATTATGCTATATATATATATATATATATATATATATATATATATATATATATCAACTTATTAATTTAACTCTGAACATTAACTTATATATATAACTCTGACAATTAACATATATATATATATATGAATTAATTATATATATATATATATATTAACTTATATATTTATAATAAACTTATTAAATTATATATATATTATATAAACTTATATATAACTCATATATATATAACTTTTGACATTTAACTTATATATATAATATAAACTTATTAACTTTTATATATATGTTAACTTATATATATATATTAAACGTATTAATTTATATAAATATATTATATAAACTTATATAAATTAACTTTTATATATTATATATATATTATATATTAATTAATTTATATATATATTAACTATTAACTATTATTAATATATTATTAATTTATATATATATTAACTAAATTAATATATATATATTGTAATTAATTATATCTATCTATCTATCTATCTATCTATCTATCTATCTATATATATATATATATATATATATATATATATATATATATATATATATAATTACGTAACCAAAACATAAATAAAGCAATTTTCTAAAAAAGTAATGCATTTATATTTAATAATTCGACAGATTTTATAACCTTAAGCGTTATTTTTAGTGGATATTCATATTTGAGTTGAACGCTGTGTTTATTTATAAAACAGTATATTTACTTTCATCTACCGGCCTCAATATACGAGAGATCTCATTAAAGAAAAATATGCTCTCTCCGGCAAGCTTCGAACTTGCGTCTCTTTGGAACTAAAGTACGCAGAGTGAAGAATCTTGTCACAGAATGACCTTGGACTCTGTCGCGTATGCACAGTCAGTTATAGCGTTCTATCTCGCTTCCAGTGTTTGGAAGGGAAGTGTGTAGTGTGTGGTCGTCTCATAACACCACACCACTCTACAGAGGTTCCATCAGTGGCCATGTTTTGTGCAGAATTTTGGGCCAATTACAACAGTCCCTAGGCCCGGCAACTTTCATAATCCCCAGATTTCGACCGTTGCGCTTTTCCCCTTTTCAAAAATCAAATCGGTATCAAAAAAAGGTGTTCCAGAAAGTGTGGGACTTCAGTGTGTGGAATACTTCGAAGGAAATTAAATGCCGAATAGATATCTGTAGTAGTTTTCTTTTTATAATATCAGTACCGATAATTTTTGATCATACCTCATCGACATCCACTGTCGAAAAAATGGACAGAGATAAGTTTAATAGAGCGGAAGAAGAAGGAAGAAAGGAAGGAAAAAAGGAGACAAGAAAGAAAGAGAGAGAGAAAGAGAAAAAAAATGAGGGAAAGAAGGAAATAGCGAAAGACAGAAAGAATAATAGAAGACAAAAAGTGAAGAGCGAGAGAAAGAAAAAGAATGAAAGGAGGCAAGAAAAAAAAGAAAGAAAGAGAGAAAGAAAGAGAGAAAGAATGAAAAGAGGACAGATGGAAAGAGTGAGAGAAAGAATGAAAAGCGGACAGGTGGAAAGAGAGACAGAAGGAAAAAGAATGAAATGGGTCAAGAAAGAAAGAGCGAGAGAAAGAAAGAATGAAAGAGAGAAAGAAGATGAGAAAGAAAGCGTAAGAGAAAGAAAGAATAAAAGAATGAAAGAGAACAAGAAAGAAAGAGCGAGAGAAAGGAAGAATGAAAGAGAGAAAGAAGACGAGAAAGAAAGAATGAAAGAGAGAAAGAAGACGAGAAAGAAAGAGTAAGCGAAAGAAAGAATGAAAGGGAACAAGAAAGAAAGAGCGAGAGAAAGAAAGAATGAAAGAGTGAAAGAAGACGAGAAAGAAGGAGCAAAAAAGAAAGAATGAAAGAACGAAAGAGGACAAGAAAGAAAGAGCGAGAGAAAGAAAGAGGGAAAGAAGAAGAGAAAGAAAAAGAGAAAGAAAGAGTAAGAGAAAGAAAGAATGAAAGAACGAAAGAGGACAAGAAAGAAAGAGCGAGAGAAAGAAAGAGGGAAAGAAGAAGAGAAAGAAAGAGTAAGAGAAAGAAAGAGTAAGAGAAAGAAAGAATGAAAGAACGAAAGAGGACAAGAAAGAAAGAGCGAGAGAAAGAAAGAGGGGAAAGAAGAAGAGAAAGAAAGAGTAAGAGAAAGAAAGAGTAAGAGAAAGAAAGAATGAAAGAACGAAAGAGGACAAGAAAGAAAGAGCGAGAGAAAGAAAGAGGGAAAGAAGAAGAGAAAGAAAGAGTAAGAGAAAGAAAGAATGAAAGAACGAAAGAGGACAAGAAAGAAAGAGCGAGAGAAAGAAAGAGGGAAAGAAGAAGAGAAAGAAAGAGTAAGAGAAAGAAAGAGTAAGAGAAAGAAAGAATGAAAGAACGAAAGAGGACAAGAAAGAAAGAGCGAGAAAGAAAGAGGGAAAGAAGAAGAGAAAGAAAGAGTAAGAGAAAGAAAGAATGAAAGAACGAAAGAGGACAAGAAAGAAAGAGCGAGAGAAAGAAAGAGGGAAAGAAGAAGAGAAAGAAAGAGTAAGAGAAAGAAAGAGTAAGAGAAAGAAAGAATGAAAGAACGAAAGAGGACAAGAAAGAAAGAGCGAGAGAAAGAAAGAGGGAAAGAAGAAGAGAAAGAAAGAGTAAGAGAAAGAAAGAATGAAAGAACGAAAGAGGACAAGAAAGAAAGAGCGAGAGAAAGAAAGAGGGAAAGAAGAAGAGAAAGAAAGAGTAAAGAGAAAGAAAAGAATGAAAGAACGAAAGAGGACAAGAAAGAAAGAGCGAGAGAAAGAAAGAGGGGAAAAGAAGAAGAGAAAGAAAGAGTAAGAGAAAGAAAGAATGAAAGAACGAAAGAGGACAAGAAAGAAAGAGCGAGAGAAAGAAAGAGGGAAAGAAGAAGAGAAAGAAAGAGTAAGAGAAAGAAAGAATGAAAGAACGAAAGAGGACAAGAAAGAAAGAGCGAGAGAAAGAAAGAGGGAAAGAAGAAGAGAAAGAAAGAGTAAGAGAAAGAAAGAATGAAAGAACGAAAGAGGACAAGAAAGAAAGAGCGAGAAAAAGAAAGAATGGAAGCAAGAAAGAAAGTTTTTGAGAAAGAAATAATGAAAGAAGGATAGAATGAAAGAGCACACGAATGACAAAATAAAACAAGTCAAGAAGGAAAGAGCGAGAGAATGAAAGAATGAATGAGAGAGAAAGAAAGAAAGAAATCGTGAAAGAAGAAAAGAAAGAAATAGCGAGAATAAGAAAAAACTATGAAAGAGGACAAGAAGGAAAGAACGATAGGAAGAAAGAAAGAACGAACGAAAGACGTGAAGAAGGAAACATGGGGGAAAAGGAAAAAAAAGAAGACAAAAAAGAAAGAAAGCAAAAAAGAAGGAAAGAAAGGATGAAAAAGAAGAACGTAAACTCGAAAGAGAACAAGACGGAAAGAGTGAGAATAAGAAAAAAGAATGAAAGCGAGCAGGAATGAAAGAGTAAGAGAAACAAGGAAATTGGGCAAGAAGGAAAGACAGAGATAAAGACAGAAAGAAAGAAAGAAAGAAAGAAAGAATGAAAGAAAGAAAGAAAGAAAGAAGGAAAAAGTGAAAGAGGACAAGAATGAAAAGGTGAAAATAAGAAAGAAAGAATGAAAGAGCGCAAGGAGAGATCGACATACAAAAAAAAAAAAAGAAAAATATGAAGAACGGGCAGCAAGGAAAGAGCGCGAAAAAGAAAGAAATATTGAAAAGAAGGAAAGAGCGACAGAATGAAAGAATTTATGAAAGCGGGCAAGAAGGAAAGAAATAAAGAAGGAAATGAACGAGGATAATAAGGAAATAGTGGGAATAAGAAAGGAAGAAGGAAAGAATGAAAGAGCGAGAAAATGAAGGAAAGAGGAGGACAAGAAAGAAAAAAACGAAATAAATAAAGAAGGGAAAAAAGAAAGAAAAAAGAAAAAAAAAATCCAAAATGGACAAGAAGGAAAGAGCGAAAATAATAAACGATGAATAAAAAAGGGCAAGAAAGAAAAAAAGACAAGAGAAAGAAAGAAAAAAAAGAAAGAAAAACGGAAAAAGCGAACGAGGATGATAGGGAAAGCGTGAGAATAAAAAAAGAAAGAAAAAAGAAAGAACGAAAGAAGGCAAGAAGGAAAGAACGTGAAAATGAAAGAAAGAATAAAACAAGACAAGAAAGAAAAAAAAAAAACAAGAGTAAGAAATGAAGAAAGAAAAAAAAAGAAAGAAAACGCCCAAAAGGACAGAAAGGAAAGAGCGAGGATAAGAGAAGAAGAATAAAAGAAGACAAGAAAGAAAAAAAAACGAGAGAAAGAAAGAATAAAAAAGCAAAAGAGCACAAAAAAGAAGGAGTGAGAATGAGAAAGAAAGAATGAAAAAGCGGATGAATGATAGACCACCACAAAGAAAGAATGAAAGCGGGCAACAAGGAAAGAAGGCGAGAAAGAAAGAAAGAAAGAAAGAAAGAAAGAAAGGAAGGAAGGAAGGAAGGAAGGAAAGAAGTCAAGAAGGAAAGAGCGAGAGAATGAGAGAAAGAATAAAAGAAAGCAAGAAAGAAAGAAGGAAACAGCTAAAGCGAACCATAAGGAAAGATGAAAATAAGAAAGAAAGAAACAACGAAGGAAGGCAAGAAGAGAAAGAGCGAAAGAAGACGAGAAAGAAAGAGTAAAAAAAGGATGAAAGAACGAAAGAGGACAAGAAAGAAAGAGCGAGAGAAAGAAAGAAAGGAAGAAATAGAAAGAAAGAAAGAAAGAAAGAAAGAAGTCAAGAAGGAAAGAGCGAGAGATTGAGAGAAAGAATAAAAGATAGCAAGAAAGAAAGATGAAAATAAGAAAGAAAGAAAGAAACAACGAAAGAAGGCAAGAAGGGAAGAACGAGAAAATGATAGATGAATAAAAGAGAGAATATAAAACGAAAGAAAGAAAGAAAGAAAGAAAGAAGGAATGAAAGAAAGAAGGAAAATGCCAGACAGGACAAGCGGGAAAAAGCGAGAATAAGAATGGAAGAATGAAAGAAAGCAAGAGAATTATAGAGAACGAAGTAAGAAATCTTTTGAATGAGAAAAGACCGTTGGAATATTCTCAGGAATTTTGGAAGAGATTTATTTTACAGAAAAAAAAAAATTGTCTCCAAATCCAAAAACAAACTGAAAGGCATATTTCGATTTTAGAGACAGAAGGATGGAGAGAAAATGGCGTTATTTCGTAAGATGAAGTTGCGGAAGTATAGATTGGGAGAAAAATGGTATGCGTGGGTTGCGGAAGAATACGATACAAGGATTTCTAATCTAGCCAAGAACACGATCACTGTACCTCGCAGAGAATTTAATCTTGTCGTGATATTAGCCTTATTGGAGCATCATGCCTCAGTTTTACGATTTCTAATCCCATCAACGTTGTTATTTCCGCTTCTCCGTTTTGTGTTTTAATCTTGTTGACAATCCATTTTCCTTATCAGACGAACCGAATATTTTCTACCTGTTGACAAGTGAGACAGTTTTCGTTGCTTTTCTGCAAAGAATTCCATCTCTTCATACTTCCACGTTAATACATTTCGCCTCTATATATCTTGTCCCTCTCAGTAAACCAAATACACCACTAATATTTATAAACTAGCAGCATGGCCCGGCGTTGCCCGTGCTTGATTCAAAAATCGTACGACTCATACAGTAATCGCTATCACTTGACACTTTCTATGGATAATTTCATGGTAATTGTGCTGATAACCTGTCTTCTACGGTACCTAGAGTTTATGAATTTAAGCGCAGTACTAGATTGGCAGCTAGGTCTCATCATTTCAAAGATGAATTGGCTAGAGGTGACCGTAAGTTCTTTGCTATCAGTTTCCTCGATCGCACTTCTCGCTTGTGGAACTCTCTTCTTGATTTCTATTCAACTTTGATCTCCAAAAATTTAAATACAATATCAGTCGTTATCTACTGTATATATATATATATATATATATATATATATATATATATATATATATATATATACTAGCAGCATGCCCCGCTATGCAATCGCTATTACTTGACTTAAAATATTTTTGCCCTTCCTTGCCTTTTAAAGGAGTGCCCTTTGCCGTGCTGTTGTTGCTATATGCCTTACTTCTTGCTTATCTCACACTGCGAATTTTTTCTAAGCTCTATACTAAACATTAAATCTGTTACGAAAAAAGAACTAAACAAAATGAATACAAAACGATCAGATTTAAAAAAGGACTCGTAACTGGAAAAACCGAATGAAAAAAGAATGTTAACAACAAGTACTTTTTCACACCCAACCCAGTTCTGCGGAATCAGAATCAACATTGAGTTTACGCAAGCGAATGAGCCAATTGGAGTAAAGTGCCATGCAGATTTAAATTTTTCCCACTTGTGACGAATGAAGCTATCGATATTTTTTGCATGCTAGCATGCTAGTTAACATTCGTGTCAGTCAGCTGTTGGCTCTCAGGCTGGCCAATAGAATCTTCCTGCCTATTTGTGGCAGCCAGCTATAGGCTCTCACTCTAGCCAGTAGAAAATGGCCGCAAACTACATGAAAACTGCCGTAGAAGCATGAAAAAATCGATTATTTCCATTATCGATGGGAGTTGGGAAATGCAAAGTCGGTTTTGGCCTTTCCGCTAACTTGGAGCATGTGTATGTAAATTTTGGTGCAAATCCGTCGAAAATTGTGGCCGTGCATTCGTTACACACACACACACACACACACACACACACACACACACACACACACACACACACACACACACACACACACACACACACACACACATCCTGCCTTTCATAGATAGAGATATTTTCGTATTTCGAGTATCAGTTAGTTTTGGTTTATTTTACGGCTTATCAGCCTCAATCGGTTATTTTGTTAGTTTTTTATTGCTGGTAATATTTTTTCTTCAAAAATGTGTTGCTGGTATTAAAAGCAATTTTTACCCTTTCATAGTGTTTTGACCCCAGTTTGGAGGTTAACTATTTGCCCATAGTTGGGACCTTAAAAGGTGCTACCACCTCGAGTCCTGGTGGACCTGGGAACACTAGCAATTAAGAGGTGGTTCCACGCTCCTCAAAACCTCCTGATCAGAGGCCTTTCTGTCGGACGTCTTACCCGGGACGCGGACGTAGTTTATCGTCTTACCCTGGACGCGGATGCATTTTATCCTCTTACCCAGGGCGTTCTAATATCTGTTGTCCCAGCTGCAGCTGAGGATATGACACTATGGAACACTGGTAAATGGGAAGAAAGTGTTAAAATATAACTTGGAACAAGACGAAATGGGTTAAAGAATTGATAAACTAAGAAATTGTTTTTATTTTTTGAAGTTTGTTTTGTAAGCAGGGACGACTTGAAGAATGTGACTTTGTTGTTTTTGGGAAAGATATTGCCATCTGGTCTTGTTTCTGTTACCTCAAATCTCCTCTTGATCTGTGAGGAAATTGTCCAGCATTCAGTACCCTGTAGCGGTACAAGCATACAGGGTCACAGTAGTTGCAGCTGACAGTCAGGCTTGGGCTCGATGGCATAGCGTTTCAGTACGACCTCCTCTGCCTCTTGTCCCTGAGAGCGGCCCTGCAGGTATTTCCAGCATGGTTGGTGCTGTTGAGACGCCAGGCGTCAAGGTTCTCAGTTAGGGATGAGCGTTGGTAATGGTTGATGTGATAAGCACCAAAAGATTTTTTGAATAGCTTCTTTGGTGCCACGTTAGACACTGCAGAGCTCGACGTACAATAAAATATTAGGCAGGCGATAATCAACGCGGTTAATGATACACTGGTATTTATAATATTTCAGAAAGTCAAACAAATGCATTGTTACAACCATACAGCTGTCTTTAAGTTAATCACTGTACTGTAAAGTCTCTCTAGGACGTATGAAATCACGGGTTCCACAAATTCTTCTGTGTGTCCATTCAGGTCATGGGCAATCCATTGTCTGCTATTATCGCGTTAGTTACATTATTCGTTGCTTCCGACTGTCTCTCTGCATTAAGTCCTGGGGGTGTCAAATTCTTCAAGCCCTCTTTCCTCATCCAGGAAACCATCTCTCCCCAGGACGCATGCAATCACGGGTTCCACAACTTCTTCTGTGTGTCCCTTCAAAGCATGGGCGATCCTTTGTAGCTCTAAGCAACGTTTGTCTTTTCATCCTTCCTATCAGTCATTGTTCTGTCAATGAAATGAGTTCGTTAGGCACGTTGTTCGTTGCTGCTTCCGGCTGTCCCTCCTGCTCGCTATGCCCCGAAAACTGAGTTCCAGGAATGCTTCCATCAATGAAAACGACGCTGGATAAAGTCTGTGGCTTTATGTAGCTATTTTCAAAGAGGGAGACAGTATATTTGGTGGTTCTTAGCTAGGGGAAACTATTGGTAATGGTTGATGTGATACGCATCAAAGGATTTTTTAGGTAATCTTTGAATCGTTTCTTTGGTGACACTATAGTCAGTGCAGAGCTCGACGCACAATAAAATATTAGGCAGGCGACAATTAACGAAGTTAATGTATTTTATGATACACTGATTCTTATAATATTTTAGAAAGTCAAACAAATGCGTTGTTACAACCATACAACTGTCTTTAATATAATCATTGTATTGTAAAGTCTCTCCAGGACGTATGCAATCACGGGTTTCAGAGCTTCTTTTGTGTGTCCCTTCAAGGCATGGGCAATCCTTTGTAACTCTAACTTACGATAATTACTGAAATGATTAAAAAAAAATGGGCTGTCTCTCCAGGAGGCATGCAATCATGTGTTCCATCGTGATATCTTGACTGAAAGATGGCGTGCTGGCGTTGATAAGATTAATCATCATCATCATCATCATCATCATCATTCCCATGACCTGTTGTGATCTTAGGGTCGCTGCGTAATTTAGCACCTGTTCGCTCTACATACCTGGGTTGAAAGTAAGAGAAGGTAGTCATGCTTGCTCACCGTGTCGGAGTCCATCTCCCTCCAGGTCAGACCACAGGCGGTATCCTCCTGCTTTTGAGGCTTGTCTTGGTCACACGGACGGTGGACACATTTCCGTTGATTATGTCGGGTGTTAGTGTGTTGAGAAAACTCTCCCGCTCTGGTCGTTGACTTCAGTTTACGAAGCAACTCCGCCTAACGATGCCAGGTCATTACCTCACTGACTGCATACATAGCTATGGATCCCAGTCAAATCCATTTAACTCAGTGGTTGTTGAACCTAAAAGAAGGTTCTTTCAACCTTGGACAGATCTTGTTTATAATCTCTATCGAACCTACTCACCATAAAAACCTGGTGGGGGAGCCAATTTAGACGCCGATGACCCGTTATGTGGCAGGTAGCACAGGTTTACATGGTGCTAGTAGTTTGATGTTATGTTGAAGTTGACATGAAAGGAGGCTCACGTTAGAATAACGGTTCTCGTACGATCACATTTGTTAAGCAACGTCGAGCTTGGTCAGTACCTAGATGGGTGATAGATAGGAAATACCAGGTGCTGTAATCAACGAAATTAACAATGCATTTTGTGATACACTAATTCTTACAATTTCAAAGAAGTGCATTTTTGCAACCATATAACTGACATTACGATAACCACTCTCCAAGACGTATACATTCACGAGTTTCGGAGCTTCTTTTGTGTGTCTTTTCAGGTCATGAGTGATTCTTTGTTCCTCTTCCCTGTCCGTGTTCTGCCATTAGCTCGTTAAGTACGTTATTCGTTGCTCCCCACCCCTGCCTAAACTAAGTCTTGTCAGTGTCAAATACTTCAAGCCCTGTTTCCTCATTATGTGTTGCAGAAATTTATAACTGTCTCTTTCAGATTCTAAATACACGCCCCCTTTTTGCATCGATTTTTCTTAGAACTTTCTCGTTACTTACATGTTCAGTCCATGATATCCTCAGCATCCTTCTGTAGAGCCTTGTTTCTGTTGTCTCAAATCTTTTTTTTAATCTGTGAGGAAATTGTCCAGAATTCAGTGCTCTATAGGAAGACTGATGTTACTTGTTCATTTCATTTTTTTGTTTGTTTCTAACGAAATTTTCGTGTTTGATAATACTGTGCTTAGCTTTTGGAAGGCATTTTAGCTGTTACAATGCGCCTTCGGATTTCGGTGTCATACTAACTGCCGTGCTCTGAAATGCATATTTTTTAAGCAAGGCGGGAGAATTGTAGCGAGACCAAATAGGAGTGAGAGAAGAAAGGATGAAGAGAAGGATAGGGGATAGATCAGTGCATCTGGAGACGTCGATTGACATTACATTTGAATAGTTGGAGATTATAGCTATCAGGGAAACAAGAAAAGGGGAGGGAGTTCCACAGGCCAGAGGTGCGAGATATGAAGCTATTGGAATAGAAGTGACGGCTACATTTAACAGTATCGACAGTGAAAGGATGAGAGCGAGATGCCAGCCTAGTTGAACGCTTAAATTAATGAAGTCTGGGAACCAGCGAAAGCAGCTCATTGGAGCAGCTACCGTGAAAGTATTTGTGAAAAAGACAGAGAGAGGCAACGGTACGTCTGTGAAAGAGCGACTGCAGACGAGATGCCAGATCAGGGACAATTACATTGCATATCCGTCTCTGGATCTTATCAAGAACCTTGAGACAAATAGAAGGGGTTCAGGACCATATATGGCAGCAATACTCCATGCAAGAGCGAATTGTTGATTTGTAGATTTGAAGGATTGACTCCGGCGAGAAAAATTTCCTGGTGCGGCACAGTTAGCCAATTTTCCTTGCGGTGGACGAAGCTATTGACTCAATGTATTTGTTCCATCTCAGGTCAGCAGACATTGTGAGACGGAGCAATCGCAAAGAGGTGTTCTCGTTGAGTTGATCGTCAAAAATTCTAATGGAGGGCAGGGATGGTTCTTTCTGGTGAGTAATAGAGAGTAGTTTTGGTGTTGGATACTCAGTGAATGCCTAATTCATTATATGCATTATAATTTGAAAAATTGCATTCTGAATTATTACACGATGTCGAGACGACTCTGCAGAACAACGTTACTTCGATATTTCCAGAGAGGGAGAGAGAGAGAAAGATAGAGAGAGGAGAAAGAAAGAAAGAAAGAAAGAAAGAAAGAAAGAAAGAAAGAAAGAGGGAAAAAACGAGGGAGAGAAAGAAAGCGAAAGAAAGGGAAAGAGTACGAAAGAGTGAGGGGAGGCAGAGAGAAAGAGAGAGAAAGAAAAAGAGAGAGAAGAAGACCGAGAAAGAAAGAAAGAAAGGAAAGAAAAAAGAAAGAAAGAAGAAAGCGAAGGAGAGAGGGGGAGGCAGGTGAAAGGAGAGAAAAAAAAGGGAGGGAGGGAAGAGAGAAAGAAAGAAAGAAAGAAAGAAAGAAAGAAAGAAAGAAAGAAAGAAGAAGAGAGTGTGGGAGAGAGAGAGAATACGAAAGAAATGGAGCGAGTACGAAGGAGTGAGGGGGAGGCAGGAAGAAAGAGAGAGAAAGAAAAAGAGAGGGAGAAGAAGAGCGAGAAAGAAAGAAAGAAAGAAAGAAAGAGGAAGAAAGTGTGGGAGAGAGAGAGAAAGCGAAAGAAATAGAGCGAGTAGGAAGGAGTGGGGGGAGGCAGAAAGAAAGAAAGAAAGAAAGAAAGAAAGAAAGAAAGAAAGAGGAAGAAAGCGAGGGAAAGAGAGAATGCGAAAGAAAGGGAGAGAGTACGGAGGAGTGAGGGGGAGGAAGAAAGAAAGAAAGAAAAAAAGAAAGAAAGAAAGAAAGAAAGAAAGAAAAGAAAGAAAGAGGAAGAAAGCGAGGGAAAGAGAGAATGCAAAAGAAAGGGAGAGAGTACGAAGGAGTTAGGGGGACGCAGAGGGAAGAGATAGAAAGAAAAAGAGAGAGAAGATGAGCGAGAAAGAAAGAAAGAAAGAAAGAAAGAAAGAAAGAGGAAGAAAGAGAGGGAGAGAGAGAGCGAAAGAAAAGGAGAGAGTACAAAAGAGTGAGGGGAGGCAGAGAGAAAGAAAAAGAGAGAGAAGAAGAGCGAGATAGAAATAAATAAAGAAAGAAAGAAAGAGGAAGAAAAAGAGAGAGAGAAACGAAAGAAGGGGGAGAGAGTACGAAAGAGTGATGGGGAGGCAGGGGAGAAAGAAAGAGAGAAAAAAAAGAGAGAGAAGAAGAGCAAGAAAGAAAGAAAGAAAGAACGAAAGAAAGAAAGAAAGAGGAAGAAAGCGAGGGAGAGAGAGAAAGCGAAAGAAAGGGAGAGAGTATGAAAGAGTGATGGGGAGGCAGGGAGAAAGAAAGAGAGAAAGAAAAAGAGAGAGAAGAAGAGCGAGAAAGAAAGAAAGTGGAAAGGAGAGAGAGTATGAAAGAGGTAGGGGGAGGCAGAGAGAAATAGTGAGAGAAAGAAAAAGGGAGAGAAGAAGAGCAAGAAAGAAAGAAAGAGGAAGAAGGCGAAGGAGAGAGAGAAAGCGAAAAAAGGGTGAGAGTATGAAATAGTGAGGGGGAAGCAAAGAGAAAGAGAGAGAGAAAGAAAAAGAGAGGAGAAGAAGAGCGAGTAAAGAAAGAAAGAAAGAAAGAAAGAAAGAAAGAAAGAAAGAAAGAGGAAGAAAGCGAGGGAGAGAGAAAGCGAAAGAAAGGGTGACAGTATGAAAGAGTGAGGGGAGGGAGAGAGAAAGAGAGAGATAGAACGAAAAAAGAGATAGAGAGTTAGTGAGAAAGAGACAAAGAAAGAAAGATAGAGGAAAAGAAAGAGAAAGAGAGAGAGGAAAGGCGGATAGAAAGAAAGAAAGAAAGAGTGAAAGACAGTGAGAAATAAAGAGAGATAGAAAGAGAGATAGATATAAAGCGATAATCCTCATATAGTCGTGATATTTATTAAGGGTTTGATAACAGATCAAACACCATCTCATTTTGGCATATCATATGCTACCCCAAGAAACGTGAACGACGTATGACATTCTCAGTCAAGACACCCAATATCGCCCAGAAAAGGTCATCAATATTGATATTGCAAGTCAGTAATACATATTTTATTAATGTCCTGTCATTTTATCCGACCCCTAACAAAGAAAAAAAAATGGACAGGCAGATTTCATAAATTTTTGTCTATAACTCGAAATAATGCATGAATAATGTCACAAAATGTACACAAAGAATTATTACAAAACGCAATCTTCTTGCGTCCCTTCAGGGCATGGTTGTCCACAACTTTCTCCCATTTTGCGGATTTTTTCTCCTTTTGCTCAGGTTACAGCCCGTTTCGACATCCATTCGCACAAGTTAGGGGCTCACTGCCACATCTCTCTCTTGCTCCCATTATACCCCACAAGGGTCTAGTTTTTCAACCCTTTCCTTCTTCATCATGTGTCTAAGGAATTTCCGCTCTCTTTTTCATGATTCATTCGTCTATGGAATTCTCAGTATCCTTCTGTAGAACCACATTTCTGCTGCTTCTAGTTTTTTTTCCCTCACTGTTACTTGGTTGGTTGGTTTGTTTTCTTTAGGGCATATCAACCTCTATGGGTTATTTAATGTCGAAAGCTAAATAATTTGAACACAGTTTTATGGTTTCAGTTGCAGATAAAATATATTGCTGGTCATTTTCCTATAAATATATATTGTTGGTAACTTTACTATAAATGTCTATGTCTGTAATTTTACTATGAATATGTACCGTTAATAATATATTTTTATATCTACATAGTGTTTTGTTTTTGTTTGGTGAGTCACTATTTGCCCATGACCGTGACCTAACAGGTACTACCACCCAACGTCAGGATGGACCTAAGAACAAACAGTAATAAAGAGGTGGTTACTTTTATAGATATTTAAGTAAATGTTTTGGTATAGCACATCAGGTGTACGGTTCCGTGTAGGATACAGGTTCGATTCCTGTCAGAGGACACATTTTCTCTGAAATTTCTCGGACATTCAGGCCGGTAAATGGTAGTTTATGCTGTTTATTATAGCCAGAGCATTTATTGAAATATTTGCATTTATAAAAATAACGTATAAACAGAAAATATATTAAAATAATTGTCAGAATATATAGTGTCATTTGTTTACGGTAAGATAGGCTTCGAGTAGATATGAGCGTTCGAGAGAAATCAGGAGAAATTTGCTGTTTAAAAACAGTCATTTGACTTTGCTAACTAGATGCTTCCTCTATAGCTGGATGGTATAGTACCTCAGGCTATATGACAGTCCCGTGTAGAATACAGGTTCGATTCATGTCGGAGTACACTTATTTTCTGTGAAATTTCTCGGACATTCAGGCCGGCAAATATAGTTAATACCGTTTGTTATAAACAGAGTAATTACTTAAATATATGTATCTAAAAAAATAACGTATAAACAGAATACACACACACACATATATATATATATATATAATATTAGTGGTAAATATACACATACATATGCAAAATATATAAATATAGATGCATACACATATATATTTTTGAAAAAAAAAATTCACAAGGATAGAATTTAGGACAGAGTATTATATATACATATATATCTATATATAATGTCATCCACAGAAAGTCTGTTTCGCAGCTCTTCAAAGTAGCTAGACGGCCGGTAGCCTCTAGCTAAGTTCGAAACCCGACCGAATTGGCTTCAGTGGGGGATTCTACCACTAAGCCGTCGGCGCACGGCAGGGATGCTGGTGAATTTTTAGCGTATTTATTTTTTAGATAAACACACAGTGACCGACAGGACTCGATTCGCATTTGCCGAAGAGTCTCGCGATATCAGCTCTAATAGTCACTGTTTACAAACCCACACTTCCTCCCCCAGAGAGCTCAACCGAAATTAATTTGTCAGGAGCCTATATAATGTCATCCACAGACAGAGTGTTACGCTGTATCACAGCTCATCAGTGTGGCTAGACGTCCGTTGCCTCTAGCTATGATTGAAACCCGACTGAATTGGCGTCAGTCGGAGATTCTACCATTCTTTTCTCTCTCTCTCTCTCTCTCTCTCTCTCTATATATATATATATATATATATATATATATATATATATATATATATATAAACCATAAGATGGTTTATGATATTTAATGAAGGCTCTTTATTTTGTATATTAACTTCTACGGTTTTGTGTTTTTCCTTGCATTGGGTATTGTAGTGTATTTTGCCTTATGTTGATAGTTGTTTTCTGGTTTCTCGTGTTATGCACGAATTGCACTGAATTTGAACAGGTTAGCTTACGAGAAATTGTGGTGCATGTTTGACCAATAGTTTAGTGTTGTTTCTTTTATTATTAGCATTGGAGATGCAATCTTCCAGAGAGTACGAGAATTCTAAAACAACTTCATTTTTACATCCCCATATTGTTGATAACGATCAGATTAAAACCTATAAACTTATTTATTTTTTTATATATAAAAGATGATGAATCTAAGGTGTTTGGTAGGATCTTTGAGTGATATGGATCTGCAAATTATATTTTTAATTGCTTTTTCATCCTGTTTATAATTATAGTTCATCTGGTTACGATCAAAAATATGCTAATGGCGTGTTTATTTTTGCTTGAATCTGGGTGACGTGCTATTTTGTTTTAAATTTCCTTATGTCTAATTGGATTTGTTTATAGACGACTTTAAGGAACTTATTGTTGATTAGTTCGTTTGAAATTACTAAATTCCTTATAGAATGATGTCCGAAAGGGGCGATTATTTTGGTACGCTAAAGCATGTTTTCTATAACAGTTTTTTTTGTATCTGCTTGGACATTCATCCCTGTAGTTGAGTAGACACGAGTTTTTTGGTAGTGTTCTTTTTTTTCTATCTCTTTTGACATTTATTAGTGTAGTTGATAGACACTAGTTTCTGTTAGTGATTTTTATGAATACAGTTGATAAAGTAATGAAATATGGCGTAGATTAAAACGTCACAGAAAGGGATGTTATTAATATTGATCATCATTTCAACTTGGAGCTAAAGAGATCATTTAGAAAAGTTCCACTTCAATCCATAAAACGTTTGACATGAGAGAGAGAGAGAGAGAGAGAGAGAGAGAGAGAGAGAGAGAGTTAGAGAGAGAGACAGACAGATAGACAGACAGAGGAGTTTTAGTTATGACAGTCTAAAGATCATTGAAAAAAAGACTTGAAAATTAAATCGTACGTGAAACCTGTGAGGAAACTCGTTACTCCGAGACAGAAAGGTAGAAGGTTAGAGAGGGCGAAGATCATCTTCAATTAGTTGGAAAATGATCCTGGAACAATATATATATATATTCGAATTTGATTTTGATTTCAATCGTTCATAAGCTTCGATCTTTAGCTATGATTAATTAATGATGAACATATGACTTTCGATTTCACCACGATTCGTCTGTTAAACTTCGGGAGCAATTAAGCAGTCTTATTGCTCAACGTCGAGTCCAATATTGTTATATAAACCTCGGAGAATTCCAGTAAGATAACTTTAATCATTTCCAAGATACAACGGTTCAAATTTTAATCTAAAAATTGGGAAATTTTGTTGTTACACGATTTGGACAATTTTGTATAAGAAAATGACAGAAGATCTATTTTGTCTTTTAGCCACAGGATGTCTTCGAGATAAGGCGCCTCTCGTTTCCGTTCGAGGTGGCCTCTTGGCCACCAGCGAACGTTATGTCGCATTGAAAACAAAACAGAAAATTACACCCGGCATATATATATATTTATATATATACAAGTATATGATTGGTGTATACGGAATGAATTCCAATAACCAACAATTAAAAATTTAAAACAATTTAAAACTTTTAAAACCATTTATTTTACATTCAATATCATCACTTGATAAGACACCGGAGGTGTTGAAACAAAATGGCTATTTTTGTAGTGATTTTATAACATATTTATGTTATAATTTTTAAATAAATAATTATATATATATATATATATATATATATATATATATATATATATATATATATACAACAATAATTAATACTTAGCAAGAAGCAGGAACACGTAGCTTCCTGCAAGCACGTGTTCCTATAGCTGTCTCTCCACTAAGGTTAGATATCCTGGTCTCTGAGAGACTATGCCTTATAAGGTATGTTTGATCAAATTCAGTAGAGACCCCTACTCTGATCTTCCCCACATGCTACTATAATTCTTCTTCTTCTTCTTCTTCTTCTTCTTCTTCTTCTTCTTCTTCTTATTATTATTATTATTATTATTATTATTATTAAAGACCCAATACATTAATATTGGTCGCCTTTGGGTACAATTAACTGGTTCAGTCGTAAACGCAATGGACTTAGCAGGTAGAAGAACCGGCTGTTCTTCGAGTTCCTTTGTTAGAGAATATTTTAACACACTCACACACAGTGTGTGTTGCGTTCTGTGTCATCTCTAGGTCCCCAGGCTACCACATAAAATGGAATCAACCAAAAGGAATTTCTCTTATTCATTTTTATTAGGAGAGAGCGGCGGCAGCTTGGATTCTAAGAGGCAGCGGGAGGGATGACGTCATAGAAACGCATGTCGCACATCGGCTCAAGGTTCTTCCTTATGTGGTTTTAGTCGGTCTCTCAAACCTGGGTGTGGGAAGCATAGCGGCGCTCCTAATTTCTTGTAGCTCTCTCTTGAAATTGCCTTATATTTAAAATCCAGACAAAGGCAATCCATCACTGACAGAATACCACGCCCACGAAGCACATCAGCCAATCGCTGATCATTTTAGCATTGGCTTTTGAATTCTATTACATATGTGTATATTTGTGTGTGCAGGGCGATGCGAAGACTGTGTCTGGGAGAGTTAATATATTTTGGAAGCTATAACTTGGAAATAATGCACTGACAACGTCATAAAATGCCCACAACGATTTTCTTAAAAGTCAACATTTAAAAAAAATGCTGTATCTTTTCAGGATGTAGGCAATTATGACTCTCCACGCTTTCTTTTTTTATCTGTGATTTAACATTACTTGCTTCCTTCTCTGCCATTTTGAATTTTTTCGCCGTTAACCTGGGCTCGTGAGCAAAGTCTATTTTTCTGTTTAATCCATAGCTGGAGTTAGTGTGGAAGAAAAGGTAGACTCGTGTCTTTTACCAAAGAGTATTACGGAATTTGAACTTGGCTCGCCAATTTCAATTTCAGCACTGGTTACTATTATACAAACCTCACATCAATAATGTACAAATATGTATATTTATTCTAGCGTGATAATTATTTTTAAAGTGTTTGTAATTCGTTAAAATAAACGTTTTGCTTAATGAATATATTACTTAATTAAGATTTGTTGATTATCTAGAAAAAAGAGACACTTTTTTGAATATCATATTAGGCGTTCACCTACTTTTGCGCGGCATTGTATATATATATATATATATATATATATATATATATATATATATATATATATATATATATATTACAGCAAAAAAATTGCCTCAACATAGAGGATAGTCTATTTCAAGCCGTTCTGTACGCGGCTATCATCAACCCCTATGTGTCTGTCTCGGAGCATTGTTTTAAACTTATTTTCAATGTCAGTCCTCTTCTGGTATTGTGGAAAAACACAATTGTTTTTGCATGAAATCAATTTGAAAACACGATTAAGAGGCATCGCTGTCGGGAGAATGAAAGGAGGACAACTCATATCGAGTTATACTTATTATAAAACCCAGGTTGTGTGTGTGTGTGTGTGTGTGTGTTCGTTTATATATGGGATCGGATTTCCTACATTTTTTCAACCGATTTCAACAAAACTTCACTTTTTTGGCAGGTAGTGTTTCTTATTGTCTTGCACACTTTTTTTTTCTTTATTTTTACATTCAGAATGCTTTAAAAATTCCATTTACAAGACAATTGTTTATAATAAAATTCTATTCAATCGGTAGACTCATAACGATTGAAAACAATGATTTTGTTTGAGTTTGGGTTTGACCAATTCTTAAAAAAACAAAAAACAAACTAATTAAGACATGCGTGTCCGTCAACCTTAAACAATAATCTTTGTCAATTTTATTTTTCAGTCTTTATGATGGTCGATACTTGATCTATCTCTTACTGTTACATCCCCGGGCAACGCCGGACTCTACTGCTAGTTATTAATAAGCGATAGGGGATTTAAACTTAAACCCCTTAAGATTAATGTAAATTAGTTGAGTTATAGATTTACAGATTGTGGGTGATACCAGAACACCCAGTGAAAAAACTCATGCTGCCCAATGCCCTTATATGTGTCCATATCTTTATACATACATATATGCGTACATTTACATGACCATACATATATGCCACTATACGTACACATACATATGCGCCTGTATTCTTATGTAATTTGGAATCTATTTCTATGTCTACATTTCGTGATTAGTTCTCTCCGTTGATTAATAGTTTGCATTGGTCTTTATATTTTATTATCCTGATCTTTTTTTCTAAACATAGCTTGCACTTATCCCTAAAACTGTTGGCAGTGTTTACGAAATCTAGAATTTTCCAATTTATTTGAGGATTCAGACCCTTTTCCTTCAATTCTCAAAATTTTTCCAAAAGGGCTGTTTGGTATTTTAATTTTGGATTGGTGAATGAATTTCTGTGTATTGATTCTCTTTTTAAATTCTCCTGCAGAAATGCTGATGTAATTATGGTTTGTCGTATTTTCTTTAGGGGTAATAGTTGCCTGGTATACTACCCTAGTGCACCTGCACTTGCTCTTTACTGAGCAGTTTTCCTTAATTCTACAATTACAGGGGTTTACATGTTAGGTTTAGTTTTTTCCCCTGAATTTACGTAAAATGTAATTGTTATGAGAATTAATAATTTGGTACATATTATCAGTGCAGGAGTAGCTAATTTTGACTGATTTCCTGTTGAATATCTTATTTAGAGTGTTATTTTTTACGTGTTTAGTAATTAAGTTTAGGAATGTTGATACTTGACAGTTTGCAGAAGCACATGTAAAATGTAAAAACATACTAGATCTGCAACTTGGGCTGAGTCATATGCTCCCATGGGGACATCGAATTCGTCATTTTGGCGCTTAGTCGAGGTGGAATTATTCAGTGTTTGTAACTTTCTCGCCGTTAAGATGATTTTAGCTTCATCATCCGTTATTTCTATATAGTTCTTTGAAAAGTTGATACTATTGACCAGGAGGTCCCTAGTGACAGAGGAATAGAAGTAAATTATATCAAACTTAATGAACGTTGCTTTATTCTTATTCCTTATGTTAGTGAACCATTTTATAGTGTTAGACGAATCTTTTCAAAGGTTAGTAACTTTTGTGATTAGTAAGTTGTCAGTTATTTTTTTCATTATATTTTTTGAGATAAGGCCTACTTCTGTTTTTTTTTGTTGGATTTATTAGTCTAGATTGTGTACTTTTGGTTAAGTTCTGTTTATGGTCCTTAAAAAAATGTAGGCATCCTTAGTGTGGATTTTTCCCACTCTATCTTTCGGTCGTCTCTCTACTTCGGATATCCTACTATTGTATTAATCTAGTTTGCGTGTTTTCTGTTATTTTGTCCTTGAGGATTTTGTGCTAGTGTAAGGGATTATATTTATAGATATTTTTTTGATTTATCGGCTCTTATCTAAATGTCCTTGGAGTTTCTAATCGTCTTTATATCTATGTGTAGTTCTTTTAGAAAGTGATCGGGTCGTTTGTGGAACTTCATTTTTTTTTTAACTATGTCAAACAAGTCCTTTTCTAAAGAACCCAGGAATTTACAGAGAGGTGGAGTTTTTGAGGGTCTTTAGGTTGAAGGTTACCTGCTTGAAAGTTGTTGTCTCCTTTTAAGGTAGAAATACGCTTTTCATTGTAATCTGTATAAAAAGTCCAGGATTGTCTCCAGGAATGTTATTTTGAACGAATGTAGAGAGGAGTATAGAATGTTTTTTTTTTTTATCGAGTAGTCCGGACAGAACTTATCCAGGATGATCGGTTGTAGAGGTCTTTGGAATTCCAGGGGGATTAATCTCGTGGCCTGACGATTGGGTCTAGCACAAAACAGCCTGTCGCCTCTGAGTGTTGACTTTAATGTTCACTTTTATTTTTATATTTATATTTACATACGCTCTATCTCTTATATTGAGCACTTTATCCCATAAATATAGCACACTTTTAAAACTATATTTATTATATATATATATATATATATATATATATATATTAGTAACGAAAATATTGGTAATCCGTATGGATAATCTCAAGGAGTCAGAGCGAACAATTTAATTTAAAGAAAAACAGACCACTTAAAAGCTCCATTTGTTATAATTTATTTCACCAGAGAATTTTATTTTTCCCTGGATCTTCAGACTTCACTTTCAAAGGTGAAACGAAAAATGAATTTAAAATTTACACTTGACGGGCAGTATTAAGCTTATATATGTTGACAGAGAAGGTGGTGAGGAATAGTGTGAGAGACATGGTCGAGTTTAGAGAGGGAAGGGAGAGTTTTAAATTTTTTTTCTTTTTATTACAATATATATATATATATATATATATATATATATATAATGTTATAAATATAAGTAAGTATACTCGTCCGGAAAAAAACCTTAGGTGTTTTGGCTTGTAAATGAACAAACCAATACCCAAGAAAAAATAAGGAATAAAAAAAGAAAGAACAAATTCTTCAATTATGTAATTCAGACGAAAACAATCGACCAGAATCCATGCTCAAGGTCCAAAGAAAAAAAACTCCGACACGAGTAAAATAAACCTCTTTGGCCAGCGTACCCTGATGATTCGCGTAGGTGAAACTTAGGTAGGTTTGCCTGGCTCTTTAGTTTCATAGTTATATACAGTGCTGTTTGATAAAAGTGACTCACCTTTTTTTTACTAAAAATATTTTTTGTCTATTGTTTTTGGGGTTAAAATGGAAGAATGTTCTCTTTTCCGATGAAACGAAAGTTGAGCTAAATTCAAAGAATAAGCGATGTAAAATCCGAAGAAGAAGCTTTGAAAGCTCTTTGAATTTAGCAGTAAGTACTGTCAAGCATCCGTTCAGTATAATGTTCTGGGGATGCTTTTCTTTTCATGGAACTGGTTTCTTAAAACCTATTGAAAAGTCCCTCAGGAGCGAGCAGTAAAAGAGAATTTTAGAGTCTTGTCTGCTCCCTTCTACTGAAAGGGTGCAAATCGACCCCACCAAGCCCATTTTTATGCAGGATAATGCTCCCTCTCACAAATCAAAATTGATGAAGGAATACTTTGATGAGAAGCAGGTGAGTGTTATAATATGGCCGCCCCAATCTCCTGACCTCAACCCCATTGAAAACTTATGGAGCATTATAAATTACAGGCTCTTGAGAAAGCAGTTGAGCAACAAAGAGGATTTGATTGTGAATTTCATATCCAAATGGAATCCAAAAGGGTTGAAAAAGGTTATTCAAAATAAAGGAGGACCCATAGATTATTAAATATTTCCAACTATATTACCTATTATAAATAAATTATACCTCTATTATTTTTTATTTAAAGCTGTTCAGTTATGTTTCTATTGATTACTAGTTGCACGAAATAAGTGAGTCACTTTTTTGCACAGAGTTTTTCCCTAAGTCTCATTTATATTCAAAATTATAATTATCAATAGAATACCTTAGGGTGAGTAAACGTTTTTACTAGGTAGTCGGGAAAGGGGTCTTTATATTAGTAAGATTAAAAATTAGTTTGACCCCAAAAACAATAGGGGAAAAAATTTTTAAGTAAAAAAAAAATCATGTGAGTCACTTTTATCGAACAGCACCGTATATATATTCTATATATATATATATATATATATATATATATATATATATATATATATTCATGAATTATTCATACAAAAAATACAAAGGTTAATGATTTAACGAAAGCTTGTAAAAAATAATAAGAACTCATGCAACAGGAATTTATAGAAACAAGGATCTTTTCATTCATAAACAGATTCGGGGTTTTTGTATATTATTTGAATTGTTCGCGACGATGGATTTCTCGCCAATTAAATCATTAACCTTTGTATTTGTTTTTTGTATGAATAATTCATGAATTTGTAAATTGATTGCACCTTTATTGAAAATATATATATATATATATATATATATAATTATTTTTATAAAAAAATTTATAACATAAGTATGTTATAAAATCACTAATAAAATCAAAAATTTATAACATAAGTATGTTATAAAATCACTACAAAAATAGCCATTTTGTTTCAACACACTCTGTGTCTTATCAAGTGATGGTGTTGAAAAGAATAGTAATTGTTGGTTATTGGAATTCATATATATATATATATATATATATATATATATAGAGAGAGAGAGAGAGAGAGAGAGAGAGAGAGAGAGAGAGAGTTATAGGAATATTCTCATTTTCCAGACGCACATTTTAATATACATAGAGACCTATCAAACGTTATCCGCAACAAACAAAAGCCGAACCTAACTTGATTAATGTTTGTAAAGTCTTATGTGAAGAGAGGATTATATCCATCGAGAATGCTTTTTTTTTCATGCCTAAAAAAGAAAAGTCTGTTTTTTTCGGTGTTTTGTACTGTTGCAAGATTCCGTGGGTGGGTTAATCAGACCTGTAATTCAGTCTTTAAAACTTAACTTCATGACAGCGTGTTGGCACTTTTTTTTTTTTTTTTTTCAATTCTTTAAATTGAAAAGGAAAAAAAAAAGTACTATCAGCGAATATGCGGAGGCCTTTAGTAGTCATGATTTGAAAGGAGAAACCTCCGAAACAATATTTACACTTTAAAATATATTTCGACACTACGGAGTAAAAATATTTGTAAGGAGTAAAAAATATTTGTCTACTACAGTCAATTATGTGCCCTGCGATACATGACTGACGAGGCAGATACTTTTCCCGCAATAGGTTGCTATTTCTTTCTGCGGTAGACCAGTTGCCATCCAGGGCTATAGAACTCGGTCTGTCTTTCTATTCACCCATAGCTAGTAGAGAGAAGAGGATTCATACCTTTTCCAAGGGTATTAGCACGTTAGTGAATGTAATGGATTCGACTGGAATTCGAACTCGGCTCTCCGATTCCTCAATCCGAATCAAAACACCATGAAGAAAAATATTACCAGCAATACATTTTTGAAAAATTTTACCAGCAAAAAAATCTTGTCGGCATGAAATATATACTGATATACCGTAAGACAAAGCAAACTAACCTTAAAACTTCCTCATTGATCATATGCTCAATTTACGACATTCTTTGCATTTTTTTACAGAAAAATATTTCAGCTGCCTCTTCTTTATCTGTGAGGAGATTGTCCTGCATTCAGTGCCATACAGGAGAATCCATATTAAGTAACAATTTCGCTTAGACCAATATTTCAAGAATATAGGTTTCTCAAGTCCAGTAGTTGTTATCGCTCTTTCCAATATTGATGGGAATTTCCTTGCTAACCTTTTATTTGAAGGGGTGCGGAATGTCAATATCTTGATAATGTCATTCATTTCTCTTTCGTTTGAAATTTATAAGATCATTCTCTTAAAACAATTTTTCAGGAAAATAGGTTTCTCAAGTCCAGTAGCTGTTATCGCTCTTTCCAGTATTGATGAGAGTTTCCTTCCTAACCTTTTGTTTGAAGTGGTGTGGAAATGCAACATCTTGATTATGTCAGTATTTTCTTTTTCGGTTCAATTTTATAAAATCATTCTCTTAAAACAATTTTCCAGGAAAATAGGTTTCTCAAGTCCAGTAGCTGTTATCGCTCTTTGCAGTATTGATGGGAATTTCCTTCCTAACCTTTTGTTTGAAGTGGTGAGGAATGTCACCATCTTGATTATGTCATTATGTTCTCATTTGTTTTAAATTTATAAGATCATTCTCTTAAAACAATTTTTCAGGAAAATCGGTTTCTCAAGTCCAGTAGCTGTTATCGCTCTTTCCAGTATTGAGCGGAGTTTCCTTCCTAAACTTTTGTCTGAAGAGGTGTGGAATGTCAGAATCTTGATTATATCATCATTTTTTCTTTGAATTACATGAGATATCCATTTTTGCTGTTGCTGCTGTTGGAAGTTCTCAAGTGATGAGGTTTCTGTTATTTGTTAATGATCTGTAGTAAAATATATCTCAGCACTGTTTAGAATTGCGTAATGCGTTGTCGAGAAACTAAAAATGGAGCGCGTTCAATTCTGTTTGAGGCCATTATTCACGCTAATAATCGTAGGAAGAGTAGAGATTTTGTAAGACAGCGTAAGAAAAGGAAACACCACAGATAACGTGAGAAAAGGAAACACCACAGATAGCGTGAGAAAAAGAAACACCACAGACAGCGTAAGAAAAGTAAACACCACAGACAACGTAAGAAAAGGAAACCCCACAGACAGCGTGAGAAAAGGAAACACCACAGATAGTGTGAGAAAAAGAAACACCACAGATAGCGTAAGGAAAGGAAGCACCACAGTTAGCGTAAGAAAAGGAAACACCGCATTCGCTGCAGGCAAAGAGATGCACTGAGGATTAAGACAAATTCGACCTCCTATAAGTGAAATGACAGAGAAAACGAAATCTATATCTAAAGAAACGACAAATTCTGCCTGTCCGTCCATGTGTCTGACCCCCCCGATCCCCACTTGCTTTACATAGACATATCTTTTTGGAATCAGGATGATCCAGGATTGAAATTCTGGCCTTCATCTTGAAGCTCCAGCATTGATAATCGTGTCTAGTTAAAGATGAAAGTTAGAAATTCAAATTTTAAAACCACTGAGAAAAAAAAAAAAATGATTTTAATATATATATATATATATATATATATATATATAATTATTTTATTTTATAATCTTTTTAATTTTATATATATATATATATATATATATATATATATATATATATATTAGAATATATATATAGAAAATTAAAAAAATTTTAAAAATTAACAAAATTAAAATCTTTAGACACACTGGGTTGTAGATTAATATTCTTTCGTTTTTTTTTTTTATTATTATTCCATTTAAATTCCTCGACTAGTTTCGACCGAAATGGCCATCATCGGGAGGAGAAATATTTCTGCTTGCTGTTAGCAGTGAACTACAGAAATGAATGTCTTTTGTTGGAGAAAATGAACTTTTGTCTGTAGTTTTCATTTTTTTTTTTTTTTTATTTTTTTATCTTTTTAACATGAATCTTTTAACATTCCTTGTGTTGGTCAAACAGTCTCTTTTAAGTTGTTATTTGAGATAAGAGCTGGATAGATAAATGTTACTCTGAATTCTCTGGTCAGTTTGACAGTTTTATTGGACCTGGTGAGGGGATGTGTCTCTGTTTAGTGTTTGTGTGTGTGTTATTTGGTTCTCAGGGAGTGAGTGATTATGATATGTGTAAGCGTGTGTATTGCTGTAGGTGTGTGTTATCATTTGGCTCATTAGGGAGTGAGTGAGTATGATGTGTGTAAGTGTGTATATTCCTATTGTTTATAAAACTTTGTGAATTTAAATTTTTTGTTTTAAATTCAATTTAAGATATATCAAAAACTTAGTGCATTGAGGAAATTGTTTTTATTTCTTCAAAATGAAGAAATACTCGAGGTAACTGAAATATGGTTCTGCAGAATCCAATGGACGGAGGATATGAATAACGGTGAAGTTTTGGAGATAATGGCAACAGAAATAGGGTGTTGGAACTTCTTCGGCACACAATGAGGAATGAAGGCTTGGGGAGTTTGACACACTCAGAGCATATCAAAGGCAAGAGGGACAGAGGAAAAGAATGCATAAACTATCTAGTGATTGTGTGTAACTTCCCAGTAGATCGGGGGTGAGGAGATATAGCAAAAAGACAAACTTTAATAAGCGCTGCAAAAGACAGGAAATTGTGGAGAGTCGTCATCGTCTACGTTCAGAAGGGACACAGTAAACAGAAGACAAAGAACGAGCTCGTGTAACTGGATGGTAGAACAGGGGTGAGGATAGATAGCAAAAAGACACAATTTACGAATTACAATGAACGGGAAATTGTGGAGAGCCATGATCGACCACGCCCTGAAAGGACACGACATAAAGAAGGAGGAGAAGAAGAATTCACATTCTGGTGAAATATATATATATATATATATATATATATATATATATATATATATATATAGAGAGAGAGAGAGAGAGAGAGAGAGAGAGAGTGTCGGGGAGAGAGTTCAAATATTTTGTTGAAGATAAGGTGTGGTAGAGAGAATCAATGAAATAGGGGGGAAAAAGTTTTTAGGTGGGAAAACGAGAGATTGGTGAGAAGAGAAAGAAGGAAATGCCTGAAGGAGAAAACCAGAAAATATTACAACAGTGTTGCATTAAATGACTTAAAGACAGGAAGATGTCTTGAATAAGCTGACTACTTACAGATGTCAACACACACACACACACACGTTTATATATATATATGTGTGCGTGTATGTCTTTGTGTGAATCTCATATCTATTTTCTTTTTTTCTTGAAACCTGTCTTTGCTATTCCTTTTTTCTTGCTCCCCAACTTATTTTCATGTCAGTTAAACTTTTTATTTGTCTCACTTTCTCGCTTTCTTTCTTTTGGGAATTCTACGATTTCATTTCTTTCTTTCTTTTGTGAATTCTACGATTTCATTTCATTTCTTTCTTTCTTTTTTTCTTTCTTTCTTTCTTTCTTTTGTGAATTCTCCGAATTCCTTTCTATCTTTCTTTCATTGTTTCGTTCTTATTTTTATTTCTATTTTGAATCCTCTAATTTTTGTTGTTTGCTTGTTTTTTTTCTGTTTGAATCCTCTGATTTCTTTCTTTCTTTCTTTCTTTCTTTCTTTCTTTCTTTGACAAGTTCCATTCTTTTCTTTCTTTTCCGATTCCTCTGATTTCCTTCCTTCCTTCCTTTCTTCCTTCTATCCTTCCTTCCACCCTCCCCCTTCCTTCCTTCCTTCCTTCCTTCCTTCCTTCCTTCCTTCCTTCCTTTTCCTTCCTTCCTTCCTTCCTTCCTTCCTTCCTTCCTTCCTTCCACCCTCCCCTTCCTTCCTTCCTTCCTTCCTTCCTTCCTTCCTTCCTTTAATCATTCTGATTTGTCCCTTCCCTTCCGTTTTTTAATCCTCTGATTTCTTTCTTTCTTTCTTTCTTTCTTTCTTTCTTTGACAAGTTCTATTCTTTTCTTTCTTTTCCGATTCCTCTGATTTCCTTCCTTCCTTCCTTCCTTCCTTCCTTCCTTCCTTCCACCCTCCCCCTTCCTTCCTTCCTTCCTTCCTTCCTTTAATCATTCTGATTTGTCCCTTCCCTTCCGTTTTTTAATCCTCTGATTTCTTTCTTTCTTTCTTTCTTTCTTTCTTTCTTTCTTTCTTTCTTTCTTTGACATGTTCCATTCTTTTCTTTCTTTTTCGATTCCTCTAATTTCCCTCCTTCCTTCATTCCTCTCTTCCTTCCTTCCTTCCACCCTCCCCCTTCCTCCCTTCCTTTCTTCCTTCCTTTCTCCACCCTTCCTTCCTTCCTTCCTTCCTTCCTTCC